AGGAGAGGGAGATGTTGCAGAGGGAGGAGGAGGACACTGACGGAGTCACAGGAAGGCTTGGATGGGCTGTGGAGTGGTCTTCCTAACCTGCCAAAGAATCCATCAGCTGTGTTGGATACACAATGCAGTGAGCTGAGCAGAGCTCAGGGACAGTCAGACTGGTAGCTATTAATATAATGGAAAGAACAGGTGTTGGCATCTCTTTACCTCCTCACACAGCATGGACAAGTGTGTGCACCACTCCAAACAATTGTGCAGCTCATCATGGCAACCCCTTTTCCCATACCACACACCTTTTGCCCTTCTTGACCTTCATGCATGGTTAGGTCATGGTATATGGTACAAACTTCTGTAGAATTTACTGGCAACAAACAAAGTGAGAAGTTCATCATGCCAAGCCTTCTTTCCCAAAGCACATGCATGTTTCCCCTTCTTGACCTCCATGCATAGGTAGGTTAGGGTTGATGGTACAAATTCTGTTGGTTTTCCTGCATGGGATGTGATGTCCTTGCAACAGCTTCTGTGACTACTGGCCAACATTCTTGAAAGAGTGTTGCCATTGGAAAGTATTCAGCAATTAGCAACTCTCTGGGGTTGTGGAGCAGAGGTAGTCATGCTTTTGACTCAAGTGGAGTGAGCCAATGTTTGGTTTCCATGAAGACAAGAGGAAAAAGATGAGAAACAACTCCTGCGTTTCCATTGTCATTTACCACATCATCTCTTAAGATTTCAAGGGTGATGCATAATAATCTTCACATGGTTAAACTCAAAATTTCTATTGCAGTACTACATTGCTCAATCTGAAGCTCACAAATCTCAATGTTCAACAAGTGACATGGCCAACAGCATTCATTATTCTCTGGTATGGAACCACCAAAGAGAGATTGGTACATGTGAGAGGCAATGAGGTTCTTTAATAGAGGGTATAAAGTTAGATCAAAAAGGAATGAGCATTTTGTCCTCCCTAGTGGACCAAACATTTTCATTATGCCTTAAATAACAAGAAAAATAGATCTGTCCACCAACATTCAATATTATGCTACAATAAAAAAGATTATTCCTGTGAATTAAAATCTTGATCAAGTATATAGCAAAGGAACAAACATAACATTGTAATTTGTCTTCCAGAGATAAAAATGATGTGCTTCCAAATCTGAATCAACCTTTTCCTCTTTTACTCTTAGGTCCCCACAACAATTGCAACTGTAATGTGCCCTAGGAAAGTTCATCTGGCTTATTAGGTCAGGGCTTTCATTGTCCACCTTGTGAATGATGAGTACAAACAAAGGGGGAACAACATATGGATACTGGTTTAAATGTGTTTTAGAATCTTTAGGGAAAATTGACAAGCTAGGCTCCCATTGATTGTGCTAACACAATGGAGTGAGAGAGAGAGAATCCTAAGTTTGGTTAGATGCTTGGTGTCCATCACATCACATCAAATAGATTTTCAAGATTTAGTACTTGCTGCATTAGTAAGATTACTTCTTTATGATTTAAAACTTGAGAAATAAATATATATTTAGATATCAAATGTAATATATATATATATATATATATATATATATATATATATATATATATATGAATCAATCATCCATTCATTCAATTAATGTCATTAATCCATGTGTTCCTTTAGATATAGAAAATTTGTGAAATTGCTATTGACAATGTTTTAGACTCATCATCCACTAATTGATATTTTTTATTAAAAAAAATGAAAAGAAAAACAAGTAGAATCACTAAAACAATTTGCAGCTCAAAGTGTGCATTTGGAGATCTAACCAACCTTGTGGTTTCAAGAAACATTTTGGATGCAATGAAAGACACCAGAAAGAAAGGCAAGATGGCCAAAGTACAGATAGAAATGGTAAGCATGCATGTGTCTGTTCATTTAAGGCTCTAATTTAATCTAAAGTAAAGATAGTGTCTCTAGTTTTTATTTTTGGTTCATGACACTAATAACCCATCATGAAATGAATCACATCCATTGGGAAAAATTAATGGTGGACAAATTAAATTATTGACCCACCTAAAGCAGACTTCATATTAGTATAATAAAATTATTTTTTTAGAATAAAAACATAAAAAATTATTGACACAAGCTTCATGTTGCAACCTTTTAACTTTTTCTTTGGACCCATCAATAATGCATAATTGGCTATATATATATATATATATTCTACTGTCTCACCAAGTGTTTGTTATATTGCCGACGAGAGCTCCTCTCGCTCCACCGACGCCATTATTATAGTTGTGGCCCTCGCTATAAGACAAAGTCCCGTCATTCTCGCCCAACATTGCTCTCTTTATGCCTGTAGATCCGATGCGCACTTCACTCGACAACGGATGTGCGTGCGCACAGCGAACGCGCCGTGGTGGGTGGCGCAGATGATGGACGCCTCTGTTTCTGGAAGAGCGTATGGTTTGGTTTGGTCGATGGCAGGTCCAAGTAAGACTTCATCTAATGGGTGGGGACTGTTGGCCTTCTTCCTCACACTCTCACTAGTAATGAAAACTAAAAGCTCGCTCCTAGTCTGCATCAAATCTTCTGTTTTGTCTTATCAAGCTGGTGAACTCTGTTTCCCACTGTCATTTTGCACCAAAAACAAGAGAAGCAGTGGTAATTCTCTCTGTGTTTCCCTCTGTCATAATAATATAACACCTGCTTATTGAATTGTTAGGAAAATATTTATGTGTGAGATAACCATATTGTTCTCGATCAAAAAGAGTCGAATGATATATTCTGGATTTCGCTCACAATTTAATGGCTTAATAATCATCTGCAAAACAAGAAAAATGATAGTATCAGCATGTTGTGCTGCATGGTCAACTGCTGGAAAGCAAGATCATGCTGATAAAGCTCATGCATATACCCCATGAACGCGAGGCAGCCTCGACAATATGATCACCATAAGCCTTGCCTTGGATGAGAAGCACAATGCAAATATAATACTTCATTAAGAGAAAACTTAGACTGACAATTAAGTTGATATCAAGACTGTACAATGGCAGATGAGGTGATGGAAACTAGTGTTCTTATGGTTCCAGTTTTATCTCATGCAACTTTGGAACAATACTTAGAAATTCCTTTTAAGATATGCAACAGGGATAATGTTCATGTTGTGTTACTGACATGGTTTCATGTTACAGAATCAGAAGCCCATGTAATCAGTAAACCTTCTTGTGCTTCTGCTGATGAACATCTATGAAAAGATCATGTGTAGTAGTAGTAGTAGTAGTAGTAGTGGTAGCAGTAGTCTCTCTTTTCTTCCTCCTTGGGCTATAACCTACCTTGATCCAGCCTGCTTCATTTGTAGCTCTATCATCTCTCTTGGCTCAGCCCACTTTACTGTGCTATAGACACTAATTATTATCTTTCTATATTTACTAATACTTCATAAATCACTCATGTCTGAGACCACTTAACTCCATGGAAACTAAATTATTTTGCTAATGAGGGAAAAAATCATTTGGTTAATCATGTGTTGGGTGCCTTACAAATCCATAAAATATCTATCATTTGATGGGGTCAATTTCTTTTACCAAAAGATTAGGCCGACTTTACTCGCAATCAAGTAGGAGAACAAACAAGAATTACTGAATTATACCCACTTACTTTCTTTTTTTTTCCTCATCTGCTGAACTATACCATTATTCCTTCTTTTGACAAATTTTAGAGAAATTTCTCATCAAATGGCAATCACAATATCAAAATTTTCCATTGTCCACTAATACTAATCTCTCATAATATTATTCTCCTTGAATTTTAGCTTATATATATATATATATATATATATATATAATTAATAACTCAGTATAGAAGGTTCTCACCAATACAGAGTCTTTTCTGTCAGTCAAAGTCAGACCTGAAGTCATGGTTTTCATTCTTGAAAAAGCACTATGAAGGATGAAGATGTTAGCCACCTTTCATTGACTACCAATATGTCAACACAGGAAGTACCAAGTGTCCAATGCCCACTACAATGCACCTTGGAATGGTTTAGTGGTCACCACCAACATATTGATGGAGCAAGGAATATGATCCAACCAATGGCCACTACATTCATTACCCATGTACACTTGGAAAGAGAGTAATGGTTGCATCTTCCAACCTTCTTTTGGAGTTGCTAGTCAACTGTCTCTTTGGCATCCCATTAAATCTTGCATGGTGGAGGCCATTCCTCCCCATCTTTTCTTTTTCTCACTTGTCCATGCATTTGTTATCAGTCAATGAAATGAGGTATTGATCCAAATGGCCCCTTTCTATCCCCCACTAGAAAAGAAAAAGACAAAATCTGAATAAACCTCAAATCTTTGTTCATGCTTGAAAGTTAATATTTTCGATTACAACCAGCATGGACATCCTTCACAAAAAAAAAACACTAGGAGGATGTTTGGTTGCTCATAATTGGATTGCTTGCAAGTTATCATATAGCAGCTAACTTGAAAACATTTGGTCACCTGAATTAGTCATTTGCAGAGAAAACAAACCTTAGGACAATGGTGGAGTCCTTTTTTTGACCTGAGATATCAGTGTGTTCGAGTTTCTTCGGAAACATCTTCTCTATATAATTATAAATAGCTGAGTTATTTGATCTAGCATTATGGTGTCTTGAGGCAGGTATATTGGAGTGAAGTTTCTTTCTTCTGAGAGGAAAGGTAAGAAATGGTGAAGTTGACTTAGAAATACCTCTCCTGGCTATCTCATTGATGGATATTCTCATCATTTGAATACTTCTCAGTAATTACAATTCCTATGATCAAAACATGATCCTCTGAACCCCACACAGTTGGCCAAAATGATGCTTCTGCAATTTCTGTAGTTGAATGACCAGCTCAACTTAAAACATCCATGGAAGTTTCACACAGCTTGTTTGCCTTCTTTGACAATGTTGTTTGATACAACAGAGGTCTAGCAAAGAGATATTATCTACTTACAAAGTACCACAAACATTTTGAACTAATTTCTTTTAAGAAATGGTATTGATCTTTGTTGATCCATCAAAATTTTGATACAGTTTTAAGTGAGGTATTTGAATTTCTCTATAAGATCTACAAAATAAATGAATTGAATACTCATCATCTTTTATATACGTACAAACAGTGATTCTAAGTAATTGGTTTCTTTGTCTAACTTTGTCAGGTTTGTGTGATCGCTGCCGCAGCCTTCTACAGAGATGCTTCCTCCGACTTCGGACTCTGGCATTTTGTGATTCGTGGCGAGGAAAATCTACACATTGTAGGACTTTTTGGTGATAAATTGACTTGTTCTAGAGCACGGAACTGAAGCTCCAAGGGATAGTCCCGCACACACCCGATTCGAGGCCCTGCACCTGTTGTCCACTTGAAAGAGAGCTGCTTCCCCAACTGATATGATTTGATGCCATTCATTGAATTTAACCTTCGGAGTATCAGTTCTGATGGTACAATGGTTTCTTCATCCTCTTCTTGTTCCTCAAGAAAGAGGTTCTTTTTTCGCAAAATGTAGTGTTTATCGGAATTTGATGAATCCTCGGATACTTCATTTTTCCCATCTAACCTAACCCTTTTAGGTTGTCTGATACTGCCTCTATCCTCATCATCCTCATCTTCACTCTCTTCATTGTCTTTAACAACTATCTGCTTGCAGAAATTGTGGAGACTGCAGTGTAGCTGCATGTCAAGTGATTTCTCTGAATTTTCTTTACCCCCTAATTTTGGATTGGCTAGAGAACAACTAATGTTCGTTCCCTCAAATGCCTCAGATGATGAGGTGTCTGCTTCTGCGTTGCTGCTTGTTTTCCCACTGGAAGCATGGGATAAATCTACTCCAATTTCAGGCTTGACAGAGGCATTTCTTTCGGCCAAGTTTAGTTCAGAGCGGTTGTGTCTCAATCTATTGTAGAGTTCATCATCCTCTTCAGTTGGACTTTTCTGTATGCAACAAGACAAAGACAATCAAACCTTTAATGCTTCATTCATCTGGCTCAAGAATATAAATTTATTTTCCTGTTTAGCATATTCACAATTCCTGCATCATGTATTTTGATCATGTGGAATACAATAAGTATATTTTAAACATGTTAAATACATCAGGATAAGTGACTTGCTCACCTTAACATCAGTAAGATCTACATTGTTTTCCTGAAGAAAGCTCATGAATTCCTGGAAGTTCTCTTGTGTTGGGCGATAATGCCCGCTATGAGGCCACACAGCCTGTCAAATCATGTTGGAATTAAGTAACTGAATATAGCTTCCTAGATATTGAAATCATTCTAATTAATTTTTACCTTCAGCGCTCCGTTTTCTACAACCAATCGACCAGCAGCAGAAGTAGCCCCTCCAGCAAGAAAACTAGAGTGCTGAAATGTGCCTTTTTTCTTCTGCAACATCCGAAACGTGATGTTAGTCGATCCATCAAACAACGATACACATATTATGATTTTTACAGGATAAAGAAATTCACCTGACCGACATATAATTTCTTTGATGTGCTTAAGACAAAAATCCACTTGGCACCTTTTGGACAATTAGATGTGTCTAGGAGTTGCCTGCTCTGCCTGTACACGAATTTTCCATCTTCGATTTCAACTTCATAGGCTTCCCTTTCTTTCTGAAAAAGGTGACAATATGTTCATATACAAATACAACTAATCTTAACAACAATTTTGTGCTGTAGGATTGTCAAAGAAGGTTGCTTACTGGGCCAAGATACTTGATACATTGTTGTTGAAGTTTTGATCGAGAGCACTTGTGTTCAAGGCTGACCTCCTTACCTTCTCCGACATCAAGCCTAACAATTCAAAGCGGCTTGGTAAGGCCAATATTCTGGTTTTTAAGCCATCAGAAATCACTAAAAAAGTTGAAGCGAACAAAGCTAACCAGTAGAAGAAGGGTTCCATGCTTTCGCATTGAAGCCAACAATCATAGTAGAATTGCAGGTTGTGACCATAACGATGCCGAGGATCAATCTGTCCATATATTACAGCAAAAGAATATCTATAAAATGTCGATAACAAGGAAAGATGCAGGAAAAAAAAAAAAAAAACTTGTGTGAACTGAGACTCACTGCCTCTAGCCAGTGCTGCAAAGCAAGTTTCTGAGCTTTCTCATCCTTTGATAAACCCTTTCCAACCTGTAAAACAAGAATGAGACTCCTAATGTTTAATGCTCACAGTAACACAATCTAAATTTATCCGATTCATTATCCATTGAATGCAATCATTAAACAGGGAAATATACCTTTGCGGCCCTGGTTCTCGCCCTGGACCACCGTGAGATTGCTGATTCTGGTTTCTCAATGTCAAAAAAAGACACAGAGCTTCGCTTGAGCAGTGCATAATCTATCAACTTCCACCTAGATCAAACAGAATCTCACATATTAGTTATCTAAAGTATAAGATGATGACAAGTGCTGTCCTTAAAAGAGAGAAAACCATGTAAAGGACATACCAGCGCTGGTCTACAAGGACGGCACAATCCGCGAGCTGTCTTCTTGTCCGAAAGCTTTTGTAGACCTTCTGTAACTTCACCGCGGCTTCATGCTTTGGGCTGTCAGGTTTGATCAAAGTTGACTCCGAGGGCCTCTTCCCCAAAGGACTAAACCTCAAGGTTTTGGGAACATCAGACTTTGTGGATTTATCCGGTGCAAAGGTCGGACTTTCTATTGAGATTTTGGTGTCCGAGTTGAAAGGATCCATTTCCCTTCCATTAAAGCTCAGAGATTCTTTAATTAGAAACTTGCCTGAGCCAAAAGCCTTGAGTTTAGCAGGCTCAGAGTCTCGGCCATTGAAGCTGATGGACCGCAGAGTCGATCTCACATTGTTATCTAAACTGACAGATTGCACAAGGAGAGATTGCAAGCTATCATTTATAGAATCATAGCCAGCTCCAGGGCATGTTAACCCCATGTTGAAAGTAGGTGGAAGAGATTCTATATCACAAATTTCTTCAGAATCAACAAAGTTAATGACAACAGCAGTGTGATTCAGATCTCAGCCTGCAACGAAAACAATCCATGAGCTTAAACAAGAAGATTTTGGTACCAAACTACAACAATGAAAGATTTTGGTACCAAACTTGTACTGTGAATCCCAAAGCCACGAGCAGTAAGAAAGACTTAAAGAACAAAGACATACTAACTCACCCACATTAATCAAGACGCATTCCAACTCAAACTCGAGAAAATACCACAGAGAATAAAGGCAAAGAACCAGCTCTTTAACCCACTACCGTCCATCTCAAAGCAAGCTAACAATGAAAGGATCAAAACAGAAGCAGGATAAAGTCCTCACCTTGGCCTCCCCTGCCTTCAGCTTCATCCAACAGCTTGTGCAAGAGAGAGAAGGGAATGAGGAATGGCCGGGAGAAGAAGATAGTGGTTGGACTTCGTGTTATGCTCCTAAAATAAGGTGATCAGGGGTGTGGTTTTCTCCCTTTTGTATTGGAGCTGATCCAAGATGGTGTTCTTAAATAGGGGGGAGAGACAGAGAGGTGACGGTGGGAGGACAGTGGAGCAACCCAAAATTTCCAACCACGTGGTCCTCCGAGTCCACCAAGGGAGGCAGTAACGCAGTAGCATGGAACCGAAAAAAGAGCAACCTTTTCTGTATTACTCCTTGTCTCCTTTTGCCTTCATATGTATACGTAAAGAGAGAGATCAAGAAAGATTCATACTGCAACAACAACAAGATTGGCGTTCAAATTACTGAAAGATTGGTATTGCAGAAAGAACTTTGGACCCTCTCAACCTCTCTGTGGCTGTAAATAATGCCATATAGCATGTCTTTTGCGATGATCGATTCAACAAAGGAAACAAGCCTCGATCGATTCGGTCATGAAAGAAAAAATATTCTGCACGTCGTTCTAGAAACTATATACTTATACATCATGATTTTTTAATGTAATTTACCATATTGCATAGTCTTTACACATTAAGAACACAAGCTCAGTTATTCCTACCTCAAACTCTGTTCTTTTCTTATCCTCGAGAGTCCCAGTTGGGCGTCTATCATCCTTCTTACTGAAGTAATGGATACAATTTCATCTCTGATCCACACAGTACTATAAAAACTTGTCATTGGCAGTCACTGTTAACTGATGAGATCTTGAAGCTGCAATGAAACTTAATCCAATCCAACCCAAAGAAAGCTCAATAGCTTATGTGGCTTGTGGGACAGACAGCTCTGCAGCTCTGTAAGGAACTGCTGCAGCAAAAGCAGCTCGATGAGCCTCTCGACTCTTTATTCTGTGTGGTTAGGACACGCACATCAAAGAACTAAACTAGTAAGCAGGTAGCAGGTAGTCCTCAGCCTCTAAAGACTGATTCCAATCGGGTAGGATTGCTTGGTGATCGTCTTTTAGACCTCTTCATGGGACTTGACATGGCTTGCAGGATCTGCATCATGTTTGAATGCACGCATCCGATCGATCGGCCTCACCACTGGCTCAGATGTAAACCTGCAGTCGCTTTGTGAATGAGTGGAGGTCTTCGTCTCGGACAGAAGTCACACACTCAGGGTTGAAGGATTCCTCACAGCGACGCAGTTCTTCATTCTCACCTTCTGACCTTGTCCACTGGGAAACACACCCTCGGTTCACCCACCACCACTAGGTTTGGCATACACTGCCTCCACCGTGACGTCAAGGCTCAGGTGACATGTGGGTTGACATTGATTTGCTTGTGGGGTGAGTAAACGCGTGGAGAGATGAAGCATTTGGACGTCGTCTAATCTTTTCGAGGTGGCCTCGTTTACTGAAGAGGATAAAGGAGGAGAAACTAGTGGTTTTGATTTCCTGCAATTCGTAGCGACTTCATCACTCTTACAATGCGGTCGTCAGTCAATTTGATATTTATTCGAAGTCGAACCTAAAATTCCACAATACTTCTGCATGTCTATCCAAACTCACGTTGAAGATTGGATGTGACACAGAGAGAGAGAGAGAGAAGATTGTAGCAGGATTGCAGACTGGGTTGAACTGAAGACCAACCTTAATACTATTCAACATCTCAACCCTGCTACCTCTACCCAAACATTGAATCCTTCCATTGGCTGAAAAATCTTCAATCCCGAGCTAGAGTTGGGTCATGTCAAAAGCGAGTTTTGACAAGGTCAATGCAATCTCTTCCACATCTGCTTGATGCAGCAGTAAAACTCAAAGAATACTCTTGAATTCAGAGTCAAAACTCATAGCACCAAACATTGTGAGTTGTTGATCATGTCATGTATTCAGGAGTGGCATGAAATGTGAGTATGTGGCCATGGATCCTACCACAACATTGCTAAACTATGTGCACGAATCTGCTGCTTAGCTTAATTAAAGCGCAGCAGCATGCATGCAGGCATGCTGTTCTTTTATTAGTCTGCTTCCCTGCCAACCATTGGATAGCGATCCCAGAATGACCTTAAAAGTGGACAGGAACTGAACCATTTTCCAGCTGGTGGCCAAGAAAACATGCAGTGCCTAATTAAATGCATATTTAATGAGACGTGACAAACTCATCTTAAATCTAATAATAACAACAACAATACTCAGAGAAGGCACTCACCATTCCCAATTCTCCCAAGTTCAACCACCCTGAGAAAACTGTGCATGGATTCAGATTAGCATTCGGCGGTCAACCCACTCGCCACCAGTTCATGAACAGCCAGCTTTGAGCTCGGAGTAGAAAAAGGCATGCACTTTAATTAGGTGATCACAAGACAAGCAGGAAGAGGAGTTTTATACTGCAGCTGCCGGAGTGGAGGGGCCGAGCACACCGTCACGTCCAACTGTCGCGTTGGAACTCCTTGCACCCATGTCCGAAGAAAGTACGCAGGTCCTGAGTTAAAACGAGGCCGTACCACCTCTCGTACTCGCCATGCACGCGCGTGTCAGCACGCAGCTGGCGTCCATGTGGTCGAAGGAAGAAGAAGATGAACCGACGACACTAACCTTCTTGGAGCCAACAAATGCGGACTGGACTACCCACGCCGAAAGCTAACCATCGGTTCCTCAGCCATTCGCCTGCAGCCATTAAAAGCAGCAAATAGAATAGGAGAGATTCTCACATTGGTGCGTCCTGTTCAAATGGATAGACACCAGATTTGTTTTTGAATATGCACTGTGTCAATAAATACATATATATATACATATATAGAAAGAGAAAGAGAGAGAGAGAGTTGGTGTCGGTTGGTTTGAAGCTGAAAGAGAGGGAAGAATTCGAAGCAGTAGATAGTTGCAGTCAGCGGATCAGCTGATGCTTGCAGTCACTGTATCTGAACAGGTTGTGCGAAGAGGAAGGGTTATTAACTTGAAACCTGGACACTAAATTCAATAAAGCTAATTAAGATCTCCATGATCTTGGTTTAGGTGGGTTTGGTTGGTTTAGGTTGGATAGTTCAAGCTTCAGTGTACAATGGAGATCTGATATATCACCGTGTTGTGTTTGAATTGATATGAGAGGTGAAAAGAATAGTTTCTTGCAGTAATTTCGTGATGAGAGAGAGAGAGAGAGTAGTTGTTGGTACAGTTGATAGCTGTGTGCAGACACATGAATGCTTATGATTAATTATCTCGAAGGAATGAGATGGCTACATGTGTCACATGTACTCCCTTCATAGTAAATCATGGATGATCATTTAAGATGGACCCAACCAAAGGCTGGCTGCATTAAGATCAAAAGATACACATAAGATACGAACATCTGACATAGTTAACACAGTGGTCCAGAGCAACCCTGGATCCTTGTAATCTTTATGTGGTAGCTTCATGGAGCCTCTCGCACCATTTGGGTTAGTTTAGTAGTAGTGGTAGGTTCATTCCTCATTCATGATCTGAGACCTTCATCATCACCCGGCGTCACAGATAAATGAGATGCAGATGGGGACAGGGGTGGAGTCGGCGATGCAGAGAGTCAACAGCAAGTGGCGGTAAGTCCGTTGACACTGTCGTTGTTGATAAAAGAGGAGATCAGCCAACAGATGGATGGATGGATGACTGAGAGATGGACACCGAGAGCATCCCCCAGCTTGGCAACAGGAGAAGAACAGCTGTTCTCGTTCCTTATTTAATTGCATCATATGTTTATTATACTCTCTATCACTCTCACCGAGTCTCCACACAGACGCACACCATGAAAGACGCAAGAAGACCTCCTTCTTCTTCTGCGTCTCTCTCTCAACTGCCACCAACCGACAGGCCTCATCGTCTCTTTTAATTCAAATAAGTCAAGACGCGTCTTCTCAGAAGCTGCGTCATCCTTGGATCTGTCGACAAGGTTCAAAGAAGAGAGAAAGGAAATAGGAAGTATGGGATTGTCGTATGGGATGGAGTGGCAGGTCGCCCGCGCTGTAAAGTCTGCCGTCCACGCCACAAGCATACGGTGAGGGTCAAAGCTGCTACGAGTCGGAGGCGCTTTAACAAGGTCGGCGAGATGGATACAAGTCAAAAAGCAAGAGGAAACTTGTGCGACGAGGGACTTTCGGTCTGACCCTTTCCCGTTGCTTTGCAGTCAAATATCAGATTCATACCGTAAGAGATCTATCGATTAAAACCTAAACCTGTGGGTGGTGGATCTCATGAGGCGACTTGGTTGCGTTCTCGGAGAATAATAAATTTGACTTTGATTTTCTAATTAGAAGGGAAAAGTTTTCCTCGGGAGATCTATGTTGAGCCTCAAATCTTCAAATAGGAAACAGTGCAAGTCTCACACATTTCATAGCTTTACCAGTTTAATACACATCTCTGCACCTTCACTACTGCTTCGTTTATGTTTCATCTTACCCCCGGATGAATAGTACAAGGCTTAAACTGACTGAAGCAGGCAGGAATTATAATACGGCAGAAGACGAACTCTTGAGTTTTGTTTGAACGCAAGAATTATTGATCCTTTGAATTGTCGCACACCGACCGATTTCAAATCCAGCATTGGTTAAAAAGATGATAATTCTCAAATGTTGGGTGCTAAGTCGAAGTCAAATGCCGAGTTATGACCAGAAAAAGGTCAGACCGGCTTAAAGACATGGGAAAGAAACTGGAGTGAGTCAAAAACATATATTAACGCAAAATTGCGTGCAAGACAAGAATGTGAAACAGGAAAAGCAAAACACTTGTAAATTCAATCTAATTGGAGGGATGCATCAAATGTTCAAACCCACACTACCAACGATTGTAGCGAGTCCACTAAACTTCAATCAGGTCCGCAACATTCAGCTAAGGAAACAATCCAAGTGCTGTTCGCCACAGCAGGTGTCCATCTACCAGTTGTAACTAAACTATGCTGCCAGTAACACCGCACATACTACTCGATCTGCTTGACTAGTAGCTCCAAAAGAGACCTTTCTCTGGGCGATGGCTTACTCCGGTAAATCTCCAGGACTCCTACTTCGTGATCTGCTGCCTGGAGGTGAGTGGGAATATGACCTCTCCCGGTTCGGCTTTCCATTGCGGGGTGAAACAGACCTATTGACAGGAAATCACAACTTCAAAGATAACAAGATCTGGAAGACTCGATCCTAACCACCATAAATGATAATGTTACCTTGAGTGATGCCTGTGATTTGGCGAAGGAGAATCATAACTATGGCTCTGAGAGCGGGATCTACCACGTGCTGGACGAGAACATTGCGGTGAGCGAGATCGGGAGCGGGAATAGCGAGGAGACCGCGGGTGTCGAGGTGATCTTCGATGATCACGACCCCTACCAAACAACAAAAAATATTATAATCAGCACTTCAACTGATTAAGAGTCATTTTGGACAATGTGGATGCCTAATCACACAGCACAGCTTGCCAATTAAACACAAGCAAGCAAGACTAGAAATGATGCAAAGAACATGCGGCGAAGGGATTTAACCTACTGTATAATATTAATAAATTCCAAAAAGTATCAGCACTCAAAACTGGGGAATCGGACGTTAGCACTTCAGAAATCAACCAAAAATGGACTGGATAATTAATCCACCAAAATTTTCAAGTAAAACTTTGAAGGCTGAGATTTAGACTCAACATACCTTCTTTGTCTTGCCCTCATCTCCAAAGGCTTTTTTCTGTTCTCCTCTGCAAATACGACGGTTAATTCTCTGCCAAGAAGAACTTGCCTGTCCATGTGATACTTAGCGTCAGCTGCATCAGCCGGATCGACATATTGGACAAACCCAAACCCTCGTGGCTCTCTGAGAAAACCCACACAGTATTAATAAAATTCTGATGCAGTGATCATATTGTAGGGCAACTGCAATTATGATGACAATCATTAACAATAATTTCTACATCATCACATGCCTGAAAAATATCAAAGGTTCATAAATAAAGAAAATATCTTGGATGCCCAAAAGGCTCCATGCAAATGTTGAAGTTTCAAATAATTCAAGTTAAAGCACGCACTCAGCTGCTGACCTTTCACGTTTATAGATGACTTCAAATCCTTCCAAGACTTGACATCTTCAAAAAGTTAACCTGAAACCCACTTCCTTCCCTCACTAGCCACTATCTTCATTTATTTACATTCTCTTCAACATAACTCTCAAGATTTGACTTGTGTCTTCAGACTCTTAATTCACTGTTGAGCTCAACAGCCTTAATAAAAAATCAACATATAATTAAGAAGGGCATAGAGTACAAAGAATAAAGGTCACCAGAAAAAAACTTGTGAGCCAATGGTTTATTACATAGGTTGTTGTTATACATGGCTACAGTCATCAAATGTTTACAAAGTTGCTTGATAAAATGGTCAGCAAAAATTCAAATTGCATCAGGATTAGGCTGTTCATCCTCAGACGGTCATCATTTATAATAAACAGAAGACTCAAAAGGTCCCACTTACCCAGTGTAATAATCACGCGGCAGATAGATATCCTTCAGTGGACCAAATTGCCCAAACTGCCTACGGAGGTCCTCAGGTCTGCAAATCATGAAGCACCATTTATTAGACAATACATATCGATCCAATGAAAAAGGGTCAAATTCCAATAGTTACAACAATAGAAGGAAAGAATTCACAAGCACAATATTCTGACTTTTGCTGATTTTATGAGGCATCCAAACATCATCAATTTTTTTCCCCGAATTTACCAGCTCAACTATTTGGAACACCAGAAAAGAAAAAAATTTACATGCACACCTTTAACAGACTACTCTGTGAATCATCAAAAGTCCCAATTTCAAGATGGTAACAACCAAAAATGGAAGATCTAAAAAAAGAACCAAATGATAAGACGTCAAGCTAACGCTTTGAAACGATCCTTAATAAAAATGTTGATTAATGCAAAATGCAAACAGAAAATTTTCATCACATAATTGCTTTCAGATAGACAGAAACGAACCTGAATATAATTGCTAATATATATCAAAAATAAAAAAGACCAGAAAGTAGTGTCATTTGCAGCATGGACCTTTCTTAGCATCAAGTAATCAATTGTGAACAACAAACCTGCAGTCACGGCGAAGATTCCTAACTAGAAGGCTGGTTGGGAGATCTCTACCACGCCCACCATAGCGACCTCTAGGGCTCGGACTACGTCCTCTTCTCTCATAACCCCTTGGTGGTGACGGACTGCAACTGTAGCTTCTGCCTCTCATCCTATTCAACTGAATCCAGTATACAAATAGATCATGAGAAATAATTTAAGAATAAGGCCTAAAAATTGTTGTGCAAATTGATAATTTTGAGAACTTGCTAAATGAAGTCAACAGGGAATCAAGAGATGACCCCTGAAACAAACATATTATATGCATAGGGAAAAAGCTTAACAAATCTGGCTGTAGGTTATCATAAACAAACACAACTAAGTAGTAATATTTTAGTCAAATGAATTTTGCTTAAAAAATGCTAATTTAAGAATTCCTTTTCATCTAAACAAATCTGCTGTTTGCTTAAGCAAATCACAGAATTAAAATGATGTCCGAACATAATCAGTAATATCTGGTCCAACATATCAATGAACCATAACCCACTAGCAGTGGTTATATAAATAAAGATAAAAGCTATTGCAGTTGCCGAACATCCTGCAAAAGGCAATCTGCTACAGAAAAGTGACAAAATACTGACTACAGCGAGGAACCAAATCATGGGCCGAAATGGCCCAACCAAACCCATTGCGGTGTAGGCCACATCTATTCGTGCCATCTATGGATCTTAATTCTCTGCCATGAAACAAGTAGAAGATGCACCTCGCTAGTTTGTTTTTGACCCAAGAACACATTTTGATATCACGTACCGTAACCATGTAATTTGTTAGTCGCTCATTATCATGTTATAGAAACAATCTGCCAGATGCCAAAGAAAACCAAAAAAAAGGGGACAAAAGTGAAAGGAAGGAAAATGTCATTGATCATACTGAACGCTATATAAAAGATAATTCACTATATGAAATCAATTTAAACAAAATAGTTCTTCGAGAGAACATTCAGCATGTCAATGTGCAAGCAAATAGAAATTTAATAAACAACCAAAATCATAGTTAGGTTAAATTTCTTCCCCTGTTACTTAACTATGCTAACATGGAAACACAAAACCCGTCTAGTACATGCCTCCAGTAGATTCCTAAAACAGCACGACGAAATCCGGATTTTGCTCCCAAGTAGTTGTACTATATGCTAATGCACGTTAAAGAACACATATGTAATTAACAGATACTCTTCGTGGACTTGGCTAAATCAAAAACATGAAATATTTCTAGGTTAAGAATCTAGGGCTCCAAACGCCCTACGTGATTGAACATGGGTAACTACAAACTGCATCCAACATCAAAAAGTCCGCACGATCTCCCGTTCAAACGATCCAAATACTTCAAGAACCACGCATGTGTATCTAAAACCATAAATCAAGCAGCTCTAAAACCAATAACCAATTAAGAAGCGCTGAAACAAGGGGATCCGAGCATACCGGAACGAAACAAAAGAATCTGAGAACCAGAGGTGGAAGAAGACGATAGACGATCGACACCAAGAAGAACCCTAGCGACGGCGGCGCGTCTTCGATGGGCGCCTCACCCCTTTTCGATATTATTTATAGTGTGTACTTGGTTCCTTCTCCAGAAGATTCCTTCGTTCGTGCGGAGTCCTTAGCTCGTGCGGAGTCATTAATAATATATTTATTTTTTTGAACAAAATAAAATGGTTAAGGAATAAATAAATCGCGATTTAAAAAAAAAAAGTCTGCTATTCATAATTTTGAGTATTTTACTTCAAAAAAATCACTTAAAAAAATCATTTTACCTTTTTTTTTCTCACCATACCCATTATTACATTAGACATCCTACTATCGCCCACAACCCTCAAGCGAGGGTTTATCGTAGCCCATAACCCCCTTTTAGTATACGAGGTCATCATCTTTGTTTATAATAGAGCTAGTCGTCCCTCTTTACTATAATCCTCGCGCGAAGGTTAATCGTCTCTTGCTAAGTTTCAATGAGAGTAACGATACAAACTATGGACGACAAGCTAGGTAAAGGGGAGACGGAGGACGCAACCGACATAGATGCAAATTGAATATGAAAAAATAATTATTTAGGAAAATTTCGAGCGTGACGTCGGAAATTCCAAAAAGAAAAAGTTTTTTTTCCCATGTATTCGTCCTAAATAAAATTGTTACCTAATTTTGGGATGGAACCAAATTATGGGCCGAAACGGCCCAACCCAACCCAGTAACGGTGTAGGCCACATCTATTTGTTTGCCTACGGATTGATTCCCTTTGCTGCTTCGTTGGCTCGCATAGAAGGGAGAAAGGGAGCAAAGATGGAGACCATCGTGGCCGTCTCGTCTTCTGCTTCGCCTTCCGACAAGCTCATATCCTCCGCCTCCTCTCTATTCCCGCATGGGTTTCTCTTCCCCTCCTCGTCTCCCCGCCGGCTCGCGGTGGCCCCGCCGAGGAGGCAAACTCGCCCCCCCCTTCGAGCCGCCGCCGCTTTGGGCCGCCGGCGGACCCTGTCGGAGGGGTGGGATCTCTCGGGTTCGGTACCGGGGGCTTTTCGGATGCCGCGTTTCGAGGAGATGGATACCACCAACACGCTCCTCCGGCAGCGCATCGTCTTCTTGGGCTCCCAGGTTCTCCGTTTCTCTCTTATTTCACCTGATTCTGAAATATCTTTCTTCCAAGTAGCTCGTTAAGCGCATCTGAAGTCCCTTTTTTTTGTATTATTTGAACAATCAGAGAGAAAATTGACTTCTTTTTCTGTTATTGTGCATATTTCGTTTCGTATGGCAAGTTTTGTGAGCAATTCTGTTCGTTACTCTCTACCCTAGTCTTTTAGCTTGTGTAATTTGGTAGTTATTATGGCTAAATTTCCAGCTCAGTGTTCTGCTTTCTCACTTTTATCATTTGGATTTATTCGTATTGTGCGAAATACTTTGGAAGATTAAGCTTGTTGATGTTGGCTCGAGAAACGGGACCGGAGATCGATACATGTACACCTAAATAATGGAGAAAGCGTTCGAAAAAAAGGCAAATTGTGAATGTGTGACTGCGAATATGAGCAAGAGCAATTGGGTCACTGATCTAGTAGGACGAATTACTCTATTGTTGTATGCAGATAGATACTAGGGCTGGTATGAATTTGGTTCATTTGGATAGCTTTTTTTGAATGGAGGAAATCGTGAAGTGGAATTCCCTGTTTGAGTTTAACCACACAGCAATAATGTTTGCACCTTTGCATTTAGATTATATGAGAATTGATTGAATAAGTTTATGCCACCTTCTTGTAAGCAAATGATGAAACATATCTAGAGAAGGCAGAGAAACTGTTGAAACATGACTCTCATGGACTGCATGGGTGACAGTTAAATAAAAGCAAAGTAATGTGCAAAAAATTTATCCTGACACACGAGAACCACTTCATCAGAATTAATTAGATGTAGCACATAATTAACTAGGACAGGAATAAATTTTGATGTCTCAATGAAAAAGATCCTTACCTAAAAGGACACAAGGAGACATTTTCTTGAACAGGAACTGTTGAAAGTGAAAAAGACTGGAATGAAGTGGCTAAAGTGCTAATCTCTTCCTAATGACAAAGCTCATTCTTTCAATCACAAAAGGATCAATCAACCACGTTTCTACATTCTTCAACTGAGATCATATTCCAAAATAACTTTTAGACAGGCAAAGCAACATTGTGCATTTAAAAATAAGGAGTGTGTGTAGGTTGGATCATAAGGAGAAGAACTCATAAGAGTGTAAGAGGAAAGAGGGAGAGCAAGGGAAGGCCTAGCTTAGCAGGTCAAGTCTCGGCTCAGCAGACTCAGCCAATCATTAGTATTAATGCTTAAGGGTGGGATTGTCTTATTGCCTTTTAATGATAAAGTTTCAGTAGACAAGTATGGCGAGTTGTCTAGAGGACATTAATTTAGGAATTTATTTTGAAAATGTTGTTGTGTCCATTTCTCATTCATGTTGGATACATTTGGCCACAGTGGATACATTAAAACATACTGAGGCACGTATCACCTAGGCTTATGTTAACTTATTATATGTACATGACAATTTGATGTGAGTAGTCACTGGTCTCCTTTTAGTTTCGCACATCGGTTTTAAGTTTTTTTTTCTTCTGATTGTTTTATTTATATGGACAAAAGTCAAGCTTCTTATAAGTTACATATACAATGATCATAGATTATCTCTGTACGGAATATCTTTTGATTTTGTAAAATTATAAGAAATATATTGAACACATTGATTACAGTGTCTATGTTGTCGTATTCATAATGTATAGTTTATGTATCCATGCTTTATAGTCTATAACAAGATGATATTTTGGAAAGCAATGATTGAATTATCATTTTTAAACTGGTACACATGGATAGGGCTTATTTTTAAGTCAATTTTCAGCTTCTGTCAAATTAATAAACATGTTATTACTACATAGAGTATGAAATATAGATTCAGTATTTCTTTTAGCTTTTCAGAAGATGTAGGAAGAGAACACTGGTTTAATTATGATGTAGTTTGTGAGTTTTGAATATTATATTCCATCTGCAATTATGAGATATCAGAATGATTATGACCTGTTGCTTATTAATTTCACATTTTCTTGATCATTTTTTTGTGCAATCACTAGGTGGATACCATGACTGCTGATTTGATTATCAGCCAGCTCTTACTTCTGGATGCAGAAGACCAAAAAAAGGAGATTAAATTGTTCATAAATTCACCCGGGGGTTCTGTGACAGCTGGTATCTATGTTTGAAATATGCATTTCATTCATTTTGGTTATTGTCAACTGGACCGGATAAATTTTCTATCAACTTGTGATATTAGCATAAAATTTTTTGAGTTATTTGTGGTGTTGCATACAAGCGGACAACTTTTTTAATCACTTGGAATATTAAATTTTATCTCTGAAAGAAATCTTGGATGATTGATGGCCTCTTGGGATTGACAAGTATCTTATATCCTAAATATCTATTACGCGGAACCACTTATTAGCTCATTAAATTGGGTTTTTTTATTGCTATCCTGATTCTGGTTAGAGGCATGACATGGAAGAACCGCAACAAATTGATGAAATATGCATCTTCTCTGTTTTAATAACTTTTCTGTTTGTTACTTTCCGATTGGAAGTGTGGATTTTACTAAGAACACTCTGGGATCTCATTCTTTTATAGAAAACTAATTGGTAATCATTTGCAGGAATGGGAATATATGATGCTATGAAATTGTGCAAGGCTGATGTTTCCACCATTTGCTTGGGTCTTGCGGCATCTATGGGAGCATTTCTGCTAGCGGCTGGAACAAAAGGAAAAAGATTTTGCATGCCAAATGCTAGAGTCATGATCCATCAACCGCTAGGAACAGCTGGAGGCAAAGTGAGAAATTACTCTTTCTTTTTAATTTGAAATGTTTTTTTTTTAAAGAAAATTTAAGAGAATTTTTGGCTTGATTTGTGCCCTGATCTTCTTATATTGACACTGCTCAAGATTAATTATCCATATTTCGTAGGTTGAATATATATATTAATTATAGATAAAACTGTAAATTATAAATAGAAATTTGAATTTTCTTAATTTAACTGAGGATTTTGCTTTGTGCATAGCTTAATAGAGGGAAAAGATCTATGTAGAGTAGCCCAAATAGTTGGGACATTATGGTTTGTTCTTTTGTATGTGTAGATTGCATGTTATATACAATTTTAGTACACAAAAATACATGCTGGCCCTACTTTAAAGCTTTGTTGTTCTCGTAAATGCTAGTGCTTTCATCTACAGCAGGCTAGTATCTTGGTGTTTTGCTTCATTATACCTCCTTTCATTGTGTTAAATGTTGATAGTGCTGTCACGTACATGTTGATGCTTTAAATGCAACTCACTGTGGCACAAGCACAGAGATATATGGTTACAAGTACAGGAAGTAGTCTGAATGAGTATATCTTTTAGGGACCTGTCTGCACAGTAAAACTGTGTCCCCTTCAGAAATTTGCTTAAAGAAGGGACAAAAAGTAGTATGTCTTCAGCAGCTGGATGAAACCCAGATTGAATCATGCAGAGACAGTGATCTCATTATGAAATGTGATATTAGAGATTATCGGTGTGGAAACAATATTATGGATTATATGGAAATTTTAAAGATCCTAAATCTAAAGGATCTAAGTTTATAAATTGGTTATGAATAATTTATTACAAAATAGGCAAGAATTATCTTAGGTGCAGCGTTGGTCGTTGGCAATATTTTTCTGCAGAACATCAAGAAATTTAAGAGTACAAAAGGTTTAGTATACTAATGTGCATTCAAGGACATATGAACTGTGATATACAAGAGCTACACATCACTGACCTATAAATTATGTTAAGTTTTGACTTGGAACGTTTTGATGTTTGTATATTCCTATGTAATTTAATCATAAAGCAGTTCAGGGGGTTTATATCCTTTTAGACATGTAAATCAATTTAATGCTCTTGCAACTAGAACTCGATAGTATTTAGTTTCTGAAAACTAAAATTACATTGAAATGGCATGCTGCTGAGTCTGATCCCATTACCAT